CCACTTGAAGAATTGTTGAAAGAAGCTCAGAAAGGATTTGTTAAAAGGGAGGTGTTGCACAGGCTGCTCCCAGGTTCAGCTTATGGTCACTCACTCACACACTCACAGCCTGTTGAGGATCTTGTCAGCCCCCATGCTTTCTACCTGGGTTTTCCAGATAGGTGCGGCTGGAGCAGACAGACACACTGACCTGGTCAACAGCTGGGAAATAATTAGGGATTCACACAAATCACTTCCAGCCGAACACTGAGGCCCAAGAGGTTCTTTGTAATACACCCAGTGAATTTGAAGTAACAGCAAGGCTTTGCTGGTTGCAGGGTGCATTTGCTGTTTCTCATGCACACACGCACGCGCTCATCCACATTTACCCAGGTCCTTCCCAGCTAGGCTGCCAGGCACTAGCTGGCGGGGATGAAAGCTGCCAAGTCTGGATCCAAAGGTGACTCAGATGACTCAGAGTGGGCGGGCTTTGGGACCCCAGAAGTCCTTGCTGGGTTGATGTACAAGTTGATGGGATTGGGGTGAGGGTTTCCATGTGCTCAGGCCCAACTTCTTTTTTTTTTGGTTCAGGTCCTTTGTTCCTTAAGGACTTGCTTCCTTATCTACCTCCCTGAGGGGATCTCATAGATAAGTTTCCTGGCTTTTGTCCTCTCTGCTTGCCTGCCTGCTTCATCTTTAGGTTGTGGCAGCTGCAGCCTAGTCTCACAGAGGCTGAGAGAATAGAGGCAGAGAGATGGGAATGAGAATGGAAGAGACATGAGATGGGGAAATTGAATAGGGCCCAATGTTTCCATTGTGGGGAGCCGGAGCATTTTATGCAGCATTGGCCTAAATTACAGAGGGAAGAGAGAGTTATTCCATTGATGACATTTGGGGATGGTGAATAGGGGAGTCAGAAAGTTTTTTTTTTAACTTAAGGTCCCACCAAGAACCCTTGAAAAATTTAAAAGTGGGACCTCATGAGGAAGAATTGGTGCATAATTTAAAACAAAATTTGATTACTGTCCTCGTGTTGGCTTTACCGTCCCTAAACAAGCCCTTCCATCTGTTTGCAGTTGTGAGCAGAGGAGCAGCTTTAGGAGTCTTAACTCAAAATTGGGGAGGTAAGTGACAACCGGGGCCTATTTGTCTAAACTATTAGCCCAAGTAATCAGAGGGTGGCCAGTTTGTGTACAGGAAAGTTGCAGCCACTGCTATTTTGGTGCAGGAAAGCAGAAAGTAAACTTTTGGAGGAGCATTGGTG